GTCACTTCATCTAAACTCACACCGTCAAGAGTTTGTGACAACGCAGTGAAGCGGTTTGGAGACCTGATCAAGGTTAAAACTAACCCAGCAAAACCTTCAGCTGCAACGTGGTCAGAGCTTTTCTCTTGCTCTCCTCTGTCCATCTCTACTTGTCCACTGCTTCCACTTATTTTGTGAAGCTCCTGGAGAGCAGGTAGTCTGTCCCGCATCTCTGCAGCCCTGAGGAACCCCTCTCATCCCCCAGTACAACCTGCTAGATTTATGCGTCCAACAGGGAAAAAGTACAGCATGCAAGAGGATGATGCATGTAGTGTTAAGAACTCAGGAATCTGAAGTTTTGATTACATGTTCTCTGCATAATATATGGGAAATAAAAGGTCAGTGGTAGCTGCTGACACTATTACAGCATGCTGGGAATAAAGCATCACTACTATCAATAGCTATGCTTAGCTCACTAGAGTTAACAGTCTGATCTCACCCAGACTGCACAACCTGGACATTCAAGCGGCAAACTGCATGCATTTTCAGCCTTTTTTTTTAAAGCAGGGAAATGGTACTGCTAGAAAATACACAGGTTGAGAGCATCAGTGCTATTGCTGAGGCAGAACAATAACTTCAGTCATGATTTATATAGCTAATTTCAGGATAAAACCCTATCTATTTTTAAAAAGAGGAAAAGACCACAAAATTACCTGATTTTGTATTCGGCAGTGATTACAGTTTATACTGCCCAATGTTTCAACTCAGTAAGCATGCAAATAGAATATTTTATTAAAGTAACGACAAAAGGGATCTTTTCTTTTTTATGTGCCCTCTCCACTGCAACAGATTTTATCAGGCTGCAGCCAGACACGCTAGCTTCCCTCTCACCTGAAGTGCCTGTCTGGTTTTAAGAGAATTATTTCCCAAACCAAATACCCATTCCTCTCTTGTATAGGCTCTATTTCCAGTTTATTGCTCATTTGTTCTGTTTTAAGCTACCAAAACGATCTTTTGGTCATCTAAAAGCTTTCAGAGTGAAGAGCCCAGAGGAGAAACATATATATCATCCACATTAGATAGTAATCCTGGGATTTGCTTCTATAGTGGCAACTAAAGCATGGTTTTCTACGACATCTGAAGCCAACCCAGTACTCTCTACTAAAGGAAAGTGCTCCATATGGAGATACACAATTTAACAACACTTCTGACCATGGCTACATCTAAATCAGAACATCATGGCAACTCCTTCCATGATCACTACTCATGTTTACCAACGGGTATATTGAAGCACAGAGGGTCTGACCAAGAAATACACATAAATCCCAATTCCAACGCACATCATTTTCCTTTTCAGGAGGCATCATTCAAGGCAGTCACTTCATGTTCTCCTCCTGCTGCCAATGATGGGCAGGGACCTGCAGAGGAACTCAGCACAAGGGGGAAAGAGAAGCTCCTCCACGAAAGAGGAGCAGTATGATATGAACAGTAGCGAGCAGTCTAGCAGAGTCAACATAGTCTCATCAGGGAGAAAATCACAGCCAAAGCTGCTGGAGCAATAACCCCCATTTCACTGACTGTGCCACAGGGTTTGCAGCCTGGCCTTGCTTCAAAATCCATCACTGCAGTCCTTCGGTTCACTCCTTTTATTTGACAATACAGCACACAAACTGGGTGCAAGTGGAAATGCTTTTTTAAAACCAAGATCTCTGGTTCAGGATTACTTAGAGCCCTGAAGCTGTGGGTACATGACTGCGGCTACCTACACTGCAGTACAGCTGAGGGACCCAGCTGGGGGTCAAGCTGCCATCACCCTCAGCACTGGACATGCAGAAGTGACTCCCACCCCAAAGAGCCCCTGGTTTGAGGACTGGAGGTCCTCTGCAGATAGAGGCACACAAGAAACGAAAGGGCAATGAGAGCACTTCAACAGGCTACTGCATCAGCTCACATAATTCATGCTACATGTTGATAGACCTCTATGGGACTTTTGAGTATCTTCCTTCTTATTTTTCTGTAAAAGGGAGTTCTTCTAAAATTGGAGAAAGTAAGAGAAAGCACAAAGGTACCTCTTGGAATATTTTACCCATGCACAATATAGCATCACTGGCAGAGGTGAGCAAACAGTCAAGATTTTACTAACAAATGAGAGGGGATACGTAAACTGGAGATAGGTAGATAGGACCTTAAGATAGCCATCCTATTTCTGTGGAGAATGCAAAGGGGGAACCAGTACAGAGATTCAAAGAGATGCTGATCTAGTTGAAGCATCCGATTAGGAAAACCCACTTCAAAGAGGCATTTCTAATAGATGGAGGCAAGCGGGCAAGATGCATTTGCCAAGGGCAGAGGAAAATGTTTCATTAAGCAAGGTGTGAAGGAGCAAGACCTTATGAAAAGGGGTTTCAGCTGTTATGGATGGTTAAGAAAGTACCTCAAGAGAAAATAAAAACAAGAAATGAAAATTGAAAAAATTCATAATCTCAAAATATTAACACTGAAAGAATTTAGACTTGCAGTCAAAATTACACTGCTAAAGCAAGGCATGATAGCTTGCAAGCTATTCTGCATACAGGGGAGGAACTGAAACATGTATGTTTAGTAATTTAATAATGGCATATTAAATCAATTTACTTCCTCCTTTTATATCTCAAATATTAAGTACAAATATTCCCCCCCTCAGCAACCATTTCATCAATTGCTTATCTCATGATGTCTTAAACTAGAAATATATATACAAACATATAGCATTAAGTTCCATCAAATCAACAAATAAAACAAGAGAGCATATACAGGAGCAGCACTTCTGCCTAAATACTGTACAAAACTGTTGGGCATGTGATGCTAGGAAGTCTTGGCTCTTTTACCATTGACTAAATCACTGAATAAGTAATTGAAACAATTTTCAAAACTGAAAATCTCCTGAGCATGTAAACAAGCCAAGGCAGAGCTAGGACAGCTTTCTAAAATTGCCCACTACACTGGTCAATGAATTAGTGTTTTGCACCACTCATCTTTATTCCTACTGGGGGGCAAACAGAAATGGCCAAGTCAGTGTGCCCAATCCACTTTTTTTTACTACTACTCAAGGAAACCAGCTTTGACTCTTCCTTTATTAATTTTATAGCCCACATGACAAATCACACAAGTTAGATTGCCTTTTCCATAGACTAAATAAAATTAGTAAACAAGACCAGCTGAAACTAATAGAGGAGAAAAACTCTTGTCTCCATCACAACACATGAAACAGGACTGTTTGACTATCTGGAGTACGAAAGTAGACACTAACTCATTTCTTTGCTCTGATTTTGTTTTAGGAGTTCAGAAATAACATCTTTCAAGACCCCAGTATTTCTTTTAATTTCATATGCCATTTTTTTACATGTATTTATGGCTGAAAGATCAATTAGAATTCCTTTGTGGGAAGTCATTCCCATCAGTTCAATTACTCCATGTAATTGTTTCAGCAATCATAGTTAAATACCGATTTTAATTTTTATTTAGAGACTCAATTACCAAGCATCAAGCAGACGTAAACACTTGATAAAATTTTATCTTGTCTTCCTCCTACGCCTTCTTCCCCAGTACAAATACCATTTTACCCCTCACATTCTCTAAATCATAAAAATGCACATGTAGTCATTTAAAAGCTTCCATATAACTCCTAGTGCCTGCTAAGGCTTCTTTCCCAAACACACCTGAAGGCGAGCCCATCGTGGTTTGTTAGACATGAGTGTGGGGATAGAGACACTCCTATCTGCTTCCATCCCACGTGCCCTAAAGCTCCAAACACCTTCATAGATTTATCTGTGCCTTATCCCCCCTCTGCTTTTCAGGTGGAAAGGAATCCCAGTTACTGATTTATCAGGAAGAATTCTGTTTCATGGTGCTTTTACATATCTATTTGAATCAGCAGCTGATCCATTTGGAGCTATGGAGATGGTGTTCTCATCTTTCCCTAGAGCCTTTCACAGATAGCCCCTTTCATTCAAATGCTGCTAGTATGTATTGTAATTCAATTCTATTCTTGCATGTAATTCACTAAACTTCAGCGAGATGCCTGTCAAAGAAGTCAATATTTTACACTCCAACTTGAATCCATTTTTTGCAGTGTATCAAAATGCAAATTTATTTTTTCCTCCTAAGAGTCACAATCTAAGTAGAACCAGCCTGGAAATGGGAACACCTAAATGAAATAGCAGACCAGTGGTTGCAAGAATGATCAACATATCTCCTGAAGTCCAGAGATAGCAAATGTTGTCAGAACATTTAGTTACAAGTGCATTAAAACTCCCCAGGGAGAAAGAAAATGCAGAGTTTGTTAAACATTTATAGGTACCTCCGAGTTTCAGTTGCTGCATGCATAGCACGATACAGTTTCCTTTCAAAGCACAATACCCACTCTGCTCTCAAATCTTTGTATTATCACCAAGAACTATTTAATCTAAGTGAATAAAAGGCTCATCATATCTTCCCCACTGACTACTTAAAAAAAAAATTAAGTGATGCTTTGCCCAACCTAGGAAAACATGAGCCCACCCACAGGGATTGTAGTTGCAGCTATGGGAAACATGCACAGCCACTATTTTACAGCACGTGTCAGGTAAAACCAGTTAAAATGCCCAGTATGGCTTTGTAGTATTTATAGAGCAACGCTATAAATCAGAAAGAACAACTATCACTATGTTAACACATTAACTTTGCTACGAGACTCTCAAAACTGAGCTTTGCCTGGCTGCCTTAGTGATCTCAACAAACACACTAGGTGACTTGCTTTCATGAGCTTTTATCTCTGATAGAGACACCCAAATTAAAAAGTCAGGCTGCAGGATGAAGTTGACACTCAGGTATCATGACGTCTTCTGGGTGACTGCACACTTGAAAAGTCTTACTCAGAGGCATTTTAACTGCAAAGACACCTCAGTCCTGGGCACAGCAGCCAACCTCACATCTTTGGGGAGAATAAGAAACAAAGGAAGGAAGAAACAGTATCTCTTTGCCCAAAAACCCCTTTTACCTACCTGCACAGCCAAAAGCTAGGTGATACCTAGAGGAGGGGCTGAATTTGACACAACACACGTTAGCCTTGGCCTCGATGCTTGCTACCGAGTTGTCCAAGTTGGTAGACCACAGCTTCACTAGAGAAACAGAAAGAGACAAGAGTAAACAAAAAACAACAAAAAAATCAACCTCATCTGAAAGGCATAAAATCTAGTTATTTCATAAATAAGATTCTGAAAAGCCTCAGTTGCCAAGATGTTAGTGATCGTAAGTGCTCAGTTGCTGCTGATGGCTGGTAAGCTTGAGAACATTCTCAAGTGTGCACTGTAAATATTCTGCCCACCTCCATACACACAGGAGACACTGAAAGTCTGTATCCCACACAGCTGAGAACATCAGAGCAGGTGACTAACCACATTAGAATCTCAGCATTAAAGGCTACTGGACCACAGATTCATATAACCAAGAGCAGGAAGACTTGCATCCTTTTTGTTCCTTGTCCCTTAGCTGGGATGCAACAACTCCATGCTCCACAGCAGAATTGTTTTGCACCAAATAAACATACCTAATTGTATGCTTGAGCACAGTGAGTGAGAACAACTTGTTTTATTCTCGAGAAACTGGCACAGACAGGAAAGAAATCAGTATGCTGGCTTCCTGTGATGATATATTTCCTTGGTACAAGGAACTCTACTCTTCTATGAGACTACCGTGTGAACATTGATTAAGCTTCATGGTACAGAATGAGCTCTTCCCCCAAGTACTCACTTCAGTGCTTCACAGGACAATCAACAGAAAACATCATCAGCTTTTCAAAATACAGCCTTCCCCTGTAGGGGGGGGGGGCTTGTTGCTCTGTGGAAGCAGAGCAAGCTGAAGCCAGTGTTTGAACACACAGGAGCTACATGAAGGCTTAATCCCCTAAACAGCTGCCATGAGCTGCCTGGGCTTCTTCGGATCTGTGGCCAATGGGTCCTCTGCTGTCTTTTTACAGAAAGCACACTTTTGAGGTGAAGTGAGCAAAAATGGCAAAAGAACAGGAATCTTGTTACCCACTGTGGTCAATGAGGTAAGCAGTCTTATGGTGTATGTCCCCACCCTCTGAGGACCCCTCTGTATCACCTCTTGGTCAGTCTTTCCCAGGATCTTCGAAGAAGCAGCAAGGCTTCTGTATGGATTACTCAAGGATGTTTTAGATGGTCAAGAAAAAGGAGGAACACTGGCAGGTTTGTTCTAGTGTACCTACTTTTTAGTAGTGTGGCAAGCAACGAAAAGCCACAAGACTGTGCTATTTCTGACCATACCTAGGAGAACTACTTCAAGGATGAAAGAAATACATGACTGCTCAGAGGTCACTAAGGAATCATTTTAAATACAGCACTATGTGGGTATCTGACAGCTGCCTGGAACCATTATAAAGCAGCACACATATATACCAGAAATACAAACACTGATGCATACTGTATTTGCATATAAGAATTATGTAAAATTCCATGAAAACAGCACCCACCCTGTTGTTGGTTTTCAGAAATAAAATCCACTCATTTACCAGAGTTATAATATTCACCCTAAACATCTAGCTGTATTTCTAAATGAAACCAACAGCTTTGCAAGCATGGCTTAAGATGCTCTCTTCTCCCAGGTGAGACTGGATGATATAACTCCTCCACTGTGTTTTGCGCCTGGGGGCAGGGAAGGGAACAGAGCTAGGAAAGACAATTTTGCAAAACAATAAAACATTAGCATTTTGCTTTAATGAACAGACACCAGGAGATGTATAGTCTAAGTTGCAGTGGCAGTAGAAGACATCAAGTTTATGGATGAGATGGTATAGGAAGCAAATAATACCATGATTACAAGAGGACACTGTTGGCAGACAACATTGCTTCAACTTGAGGCATGCAGGGAGGTTACACGATCTCACAGTTCAGAGCTATGTTCTGCCCAAATCTAGTACTAAAACCACACAGGCTTGTCTTGAAGCCTTCCAACCAGGTATCAGTATTTTAAGTTGCATCCAAAGCGGCCAAGTCTCTCCTTGACACCACCTCTAATAAATGAATGGCCATCTGGTCTCAGTTTTGTATCAAAAGCCAATTGAGGGCTCAGTTTCAACTTGGCTCCTTTTTTCATTCAAGTTTTTGGGTCATAAGCGGAGCCATTTAACCTGGTGAAGAGTCAACCTGTGTGTTCAAAGCCATCATAATATTCATTACAACTGACAGACAGACTAGAGTCTGCAATTTCTGTGATCTAACTGCTGTGGGATACGCTGGGCTCCAATTATATCTTAGTCAGTACTATAAAAAAGGATATATGTGACATATAATACCACGTAATGAAACATGTCAAGTTTTACCTGGAACTGCCCATTATTTTTTAAAAAGAACTGACAGGTTAATAAAGCATAATTCATAAGGGTAGAGTTTATTTGCTGTAGCTTTCAGCAATTTTGCTGAGGTCGAGGCAGTAATTATACAACATACAGATGTCTTGATAACACCTAGAATTGTGTTGATGAGACAAGCAACCATCTGAGATTGACTGTTTCTAAAACACATGTTCTCAAAGCATATGTTTCCTAATTTTGCAGCTGCTGAGAGAGACATCTCTATGTGGCCAAATGTCTACCCCTCACCAAACAAGTAAGAAGATGCCTACAGAACAGCTTTTTCAGTTTAAAATGTTTAGGTCTTTTCAAGATATTTATTTGGTTGGAGCTTTATACCAAACGTGTAAGTTTATAAATTAATTTTCTATACATCAGTTCCATGCCTAAACACTGTCTAAAAGAGGCAGAAGCCTGTACTGCAATAGCTGAAGGAGTTGGTGTACACAGTTGGTACGCTGATAGTAAGGATATTTCATCCAGCCTGTCATTCTTGAAACTCTTATCTGGTTGTGTGATGGAGAGGCTGCTGTTACTCTGAAAAAGCTGTAAACCAGGAATGGGATGCTGCTACCAGAAAACTTGTTTGCACAGATTTGAGGAATCTCTAGGAAAGAAGGAAGCTGCTGAATTGTCCTGCTAGGCAAAATTTTTGATCCATTGCTTTGTACAGGTCACAAGGATGATGTAAACTGATGACTGTTAGCAGGCAATGACTGCAGAGTATTCCTCCTTGCATAATACACAGCCAGACAGGTATTTTGGTTGGTATTTTAAATACCAACATTTTCTTGACCTTTCAAGGAATTCCCAATTCAATCCAACAACCCCATAAATCTCCAGGAAATTATCAAACTTTTTAGCCAGGAAAATGAGCAAACTGAAAGTTCAACCTGATATTTTAAGAGCAATAAACACCTATACCTCCAGTTAAAGTCAGCAGAAGCTGAAGGAGCAAAGTATCACTGAAAATGAAGCCCCAAACAATCCTCTGGAAGTCCTCAACAAAGCTGAGGAGCAAGCTCTGATTTGCAGTTCTCACGCTAGTTCCCTCTCTACAAGGCCATGCTTCATTTTTATGAAGCCAACTCTGCAAATCTATGTTGCCCCTGTGAATTCAGGGCCACTATAAAAAAAAATAGCTGTAGGACTAGTACCAATGATCTCACTTACCAAGGCAGCATGGAAATTAATTTCCTTAGATGTAATGAAACAGATTCTTGCATTCCTCCTTGCCATGAGACAATGAAAAGTAACCTCTTGCTACAGCTCAGCACAACCATGTGCTCCTGTTCTGCTCCACCTCTCTATTTTGAGCTGGGAATAGTGAAGGGACTACAGCTTACAGAAAGGACATAAAACTAGGACTCTTTCTTCAGTTGAATTTGTCAGTACTGCTTGTATGTCCTTGATCTTCAGAGATCTTCAAAAACAACCCCAGAGCAGAGAATAAATGCTTGATCACTCCAAAACAGGTCTCTACCACAGTAGAGACCTAAATTCTACCCACACGGCATGACAAAATATTTTGCTCTATCTCATCCGCTAACTTTACCATGGCCACTAAACTACATTCCCAATCCAAAACAGACAGGGATGTTGGGCTGAGAAGCAGCTGTAAGTCATTAGCTAAGTGCACTAGCTCCAGCCCTATTCTGGGACTCTGATGGCATCATTTTGCCTTCACAAAATTAAGTAATCTTTTCTCCTCCAATAGCAGAAATTCACCCTTTCCTACTTACTTGAGAATCATAGCTCCTACCATTATTACGTGCATAAAAACCCTGAAATTAAGACTGTGCCATTTCCCCAAGCTGCTCGTAGCACAAGTAAACACTTTAATTTTGCTCACTGCTGTCTAGTTGGCATACACCGTCAGGTCCTTATAGACATACACAACTACCTTTGCCCCTTTAAAAGGGAAGGGCATGACAACTGTAGATAAAAGTGAGGTTTTCATACACACAGTAGTTACTTCAAATACAATAAAGCTTTTATGCTCTCATCTGCTATTAAAGTAGAAAGATCTTCCACAAATAAGCATCCTGGATTATCTTCACCTAACAATGAAAACAATGCAGGACCTGAGGCCCAATGATGTTGTTTTATTGTATCAAAATAATTTTATCCCTAATAGCACTCCATTTATTAGCACCCCCTTTGCTGTGCCTGAGCCCTGGCAGAGACAGCTGTGAAGCACTGATGATAGGATTTTTCATCTAAAAGCTCCTTCCCCAATACACGCCTACCAAGCATACCAAGTGCTTTAAAAATTAGCTTCCAACTTGAAAAGACCAAGGAGAGGCGCAGATATGCAGGTAAGCAGGAAGAACTGGCAAAGCTGTCACTTTTTTGCTAGTTTGTCCTGATCACTTGACAGAAAAGTGTTATACCTGTGCTTTCTGGGAAAGCAAGTCGAGATTAGCTCAAATCGCCCTGGTCGCGCCAGTATCTATCAGCATTGAGATTTCTTGTTAGAAAGCCCAGTGTGGCCTCACACAAGCAGCAAAGTAAGAGAGGACAGGAAGGGTACACAGAACTTGGATTTCCCACCAGACACCGTACCTGGCCAAACGTGTATTATATGTACCCAAAGCTGGCCAGAACTCAACTAGACACTCCTGAACACAATAAGCAGAAAGACAAAAATTTAAGTTAGGCAGGTTTGAGTTAAGACAACTCATCATAGGTGTTACCTTTTCCTCACATTTAACCCTTTCAATATGATCACTGAAGTGGAAGGTGGACACCATAACATTAATTTGGACATTTGCTACTATTGCTCTGTACCTTAAGGACTTCTAAAATCTCTGCTTATTTCAAACACTTCCACACAGGACTCCATTTGTCTCTAATGGGCTTGTTACATATGCAAATCACAGGCAAACCGTGGTAGAAGCAAAGGATAAAATGTTCCAGCCCAGTTTTATTCACCAAAGCCCCAACAGACCTTCAAAAGACCTTTGTGAATTGAAATGCAAGTTATGTAGATCTGCCGACTTTATTACAATAATTTCTAAGTAAACACTACGCTTTTAGGAACTATTACTGAAGTGAACTGTTAAACTAGAGACGGGAACTCTGCTTGCAGCTGGCTTTGCAAAACCGGACAACTTGTTAACATGCTAATAAATGCATGTCTACCTGGCAGATAAGCTTTTTCAAATGCATAGCATGAATGGAGAGCAATGTGATGAAGAGGTTGATAATTTACAAGGTGAATGTTCACTCCTGCTGCATTTAAACACACAGAAAACACTTGACTTCCACCAAAAAGGGGAGGGAAATGTATCAAAAACATTTCAAATCCACCTTAAATATAAAATAATCATTAAAGCTGCATTTTGTAAATGGAATTACCAGCTACATTAAGACTGCCAAATGCAATTGAGGAACACTAATACAGCTTTCTTTTGAAACAGAGTTTAAAAGCAGTTTAGAGGGGTGAGCAGCTTGCAAGGTTTAATGTTTATGAAAAATTAATTTAGCATTTCAAAGCAAATCATTAAGAGCTCTGTCCAGAGCTGTATCAGCCCATCTGGGAGAGTTGATCCCCACTAACTATGAAAGGAACTCTAAGCTCTTGCTGCTTAATAACTCTAATTGAATATTGTAAACATATTACAGATAAAATCTTGTTCATTAGGGATAAAGAATACTACATATTGCTCAGTGCTATCCTTTTCTTTAGAAGTTTCCTATTTCTTCTTAGAAGAGGAACATTTTTCTGCCAGTATGTTGGGAAAGGGCTTGTCTTAAGGGTTCTCTCCAAGAGTCCTTCGTCAAATGGACCCCAGAGTGTGGAAAGCTGAGAGTGGCTGCCAGCGCTCCCATTCAGTCCACCATCCGACTCTGTTAAGTTCCAAGAAACACACTGCACATTGTGAAAGCGGGAAGCTTCTCGTTGTGTGCAGCCTTTAACATTCAGAGCTACAGGTAAAACAGCAGCAGGCATTTTTAACTTCTGCTTTTTCACCGACAACCTCATTTTTGAAATATAAATACATGCTGAAAGGCCCCAAAGCTTTAACTCAACAAGCTTAACTAATGTTAAAACACATTTTGCTTTTTTTAGTGTCCTGGAAAATGCTAGCTAGAGAGCATATTACCCAAAAAATGTGAACACTGTACCAAGAAATCTTAATCCAAACAAAGCCTCTCCTTCTCTAAGATCTGAACAGCTCAGTAGTATGTTGACACATTACCATGTCAACTACAATACTGAAGGCAGCTGAGGAATCAGCTACTTGAAATATCACATTTTTGTTCCTCAAAGGGAATACACAGAATGCAAGCCTTCTGCACAGAGACTGAAAAAGAATAATACCTTTGGCATCATCAGAGCCTGAAGCCAATAGCTTTGGGTCCATCAAGTTAAAGTCAACACTCCAGCACCTTTTCTCATGCTCCTGTTTAGAGAGACAAGAAAAATATTGCAAGGTAGTGAGCTGTAATCTGATAAAATAGTAAAAGGAAAAACACATGCTGTTTGGTATAAATTGTCAGGAGAGTCCTGGACAGAGAAGCCTACTGGGTTTAGCAGTTTCTCAAAAAATATCTTTTCTTCTAATCAGACCAATGCTTGTGGTATGCTAGACATGCCATGAAAGCAGAAGACAGTAAAACTGCAATTTTAAATACTAAAACTGTTTGGGTTTTTTTTAGTTGAAAGAAAAAATAATGATTTCAGGATATATACATTAAAGACCTGTGTTTGCAGCACAGTTTGACTGTCTGTGGTTCCACTGTGTGCTGCTGTTTATTCTAGTAGATCACAGTTGTATCTCCCAATACCAGTAAGATGCCCGTTCAAAGCCATTTCAAACACCTCCTCTCTGAAAGTCCAGGAAATTCTCACCTTCCCGTTGAGTTAGTAAACAAAACTCCTGTTGTCTAATCCTGTGGTTTTCCACTCAAACAAGTATTCCTACAAGGCTGCACACTCTCCCCCAAAACACAGAAGAGTTGTATTTGCTACACTGGCACATCCCACATGGAAGCAAAACACTGCAATGAATGAAACCCAAAATTCAGTCAAACTCTTTGTTTAAAGCCTTGCAAGATGACGACGTGAAAAGCTCACCAGGACAAAGTCACTAAAGGATTTCTAATACATGCGAAGCAGATGTCAGTATACATGCCTCTATGCAAATCCAAATAAAAAATTCAAGTAATCTGATAGGAAGCAAAAATTAGTTTGTTTTAACATAAGCAACAGCTGGTCCTCTCTAGGTTCATTATTCAGCCTCATCAAGAAATGCAAAATATATGAGAGGAAGACAGACAAGATTTATTTTGTCCAGTATAATTTCTTTTTAATTGAGATATGCAAAGGATTAGTGAAAACAAGCATTATAAAATGGCCAAAACACAATGAAAAAGTAAACAAAGGCTTAAATAGGAATTAAAACTTATGTTGAACTGTCAAGAAGGGGAAACTGAAGGCTAGTCTGCAGTTCATTCATTGTCACTGACCAGTTTCAATGCACTATGCTACCTACGCGACAGCGTGCAGCACTTCCAGCCCCTCCCCAAACGGACCATCTTCTCTTTCAACCTCCTTGTCCTCATCACAAGCCTCTCAGAATCCATTATATAGAAACACCATGTTCAAATTGGATAAAAAGACAAAATGCCAGAAAGTTCTCCTGAAGCAGGTCTCGCTGTTGAGCTCAGCCCACTTGCGTGCATATGCTGCTCTGCTGAGCACAGGACTGTACTGGGAAGGGTTCTGCCTACCACTCCATTCTCCCAGCCTCGCCACTTAAGTCTGCATTTTGCTCTTCTGCTTTACGAGCACCTGCAGCAGCAATCACTGCAGGATTTTACAAAAGGCTTTTGACAAAGACTGAAGTGGAACAGGTATGGAGAGACAGAGGTTTCTAAAGAAAGGCGAGACAAACAACTGCCAACTCACTTCTCCCTGTGCAGATTCCCTACCTGAAAGCAGCAGCAAGAAAATGTCAACTGCCTCATGACTGTGACAAGAAGATATAGCTGCCTCCCTCAGAGGACTACAGTTCAATAAAGCTGTGCCAATGAGACACATTTACCAAACAGGAGGAGCATCCATTTCACCCTGTGGAATGTAAAAGCCTATTGCTGGACTAGAAGCCGATTCTCAGACTGAATACTGCTCCCCTGACATGGTCCATGGTGTGGGAAAGTGTTGCTCACTGATCACGTTACCTGGTAGACCTTGGATCTTTGTCCCGTGAATCCATCCCAAAGGATGACGGTGCCTTCATAGTCACTGCTGGCTAGCAGGTTCTTGTGATAACTACTCCAGCTGATACAGCTTAAAAAGAAAAAAGCCCCAGTCAGTCTTACATTAAATCATACCTTACAACACAAAAATCACTCTTGCAATACATCAGGCAATTAGTGTCTTTGCAAAGCACACAGCATTTGATCAAGCCACCCCACTAAAACACTCAGGAAAGGACAAAACCAAAACCCAGCAGAAATATAACAAACCTTCCTCCACAAACTAAAAGGAAAGCTTTATTGGCTTAAGTGATATTGCCTCCCTCAATATGAAGTGGCTTGGGATTTTTTTTTTTTAAATGTATTAATCTCTAATACTGCAATTGTTTTGCAATTTGAATTCCACACAAATTCTCAGAGAGCTCAGGGTTTGACTTCTTAGCCTCTTGCCAATAGCTACTAGTATTATTATTACCATAAAGATAACCACTTACCTAACAGAAGCTATGTATGTAAAACACATAGCTGCATGGATGGTAAATCAACCTTTCCTCTGGCACATATGTAATGTTCTATACCTGTACCTATGCGCAAATGGAAGTTTGACTTCTGAGAAACTACTTCCAGCTTTCTGTAAATGAGGAAAGACCCCACTTCCTATCCAGAAGGAAACAGCAGTTTGTTTGCTATGGGCAGTTTAGGAGATGTTTCTGTTCAAGAGCTGCAATATATATTGCATGGGCTTATATTTTAAACTGAATTCAGTGGCTGTGCAAAACTAAATGACAATTCCACCAACAAACTCTAACCATCAGCAGACAAAACAAGAGCAGTGACACTGCCAAGTCACATTCGTAGTGTTCTGGCACTATGCCTCCACTCTGACTCCCGAAAAATGTGACAGATAAGAAAATTTGTAATACTTGTTCACCAATTTTTGGACCATCTGGCACAAAAGCACGCCAGTTGGTATCAACTGTGATGCATGTAGCAGAAGCTGAACTGACAGATCCAACTCATGCAGGTCAAACAGTTCTGACACAGTTAACTAGATTATGGCAGCCTTGGGGCCAAGTTTTAACCAATAATATAAACTGGAAGTCCATGATTCTGTAACTTTTTAGTACTGCTTTGATCAGTGTAGCTACACATAGAAATATGATGTAGATACATGGATACTGATTTAGGAGTATTATACCTTGGCAAATTCTTGGTTCCACTATACACATGCAGCCTGTTTTCCTTAGGAATACAGCATTTACACACAGAAGGGGAAAAATCCTTTTCCTTTTTTGACATAGTTAAAAATATATAAACACTGTAAAAGCAGCACTGGTGTTCTGCTCCTGAGTACGGTCGAACTTAACTTACTGGGGTGTGAGCTTTGTAACTACAAAGGGACTACGGACACTAACTACTAATCATAGCTCACCATTATTTAGCTACGTGGAATCAACAAGCTTATTTGAGGTTCTGGAGCAGCCAAATAATGGGAGGCAAGAAATTCAACTGGTTTTTAGGACAAATTTGAAGAAATACACGAAAGGAACAACATGCTATTGGTACTTCCTCTGTCTGCACAAGTTAATCTTTAACTTACAGAAATGAGACAAAGTCATCCAACAGCAGCAGCTTTCTGCAAGCCTCTCACGGCCACTGCATGATGCTTGGAGAAAACCTCCAGGACACATCTTCCCCAGTGGATCACTGGGAGCTTTCTTTAGAATGGCCAGTACAGAATGATGACATTGATGACACTGTTTTCAACCTGCCAAACATTACTCCCTCTATAGAGGTGCGCACCTCTATCTACCTATAGTCTGTTCACACAGTTGCACATTTCCTTCATATAACAGCATCCTTTGGTTTTAAAACTTTGCATTCAGAAACTTAAAAAGTTTTATTTACCCAATATAAGTCATTATCTTCAACCACCAGCTGCTAAGAGGATGGTTGAGGTGATACAGCTCAGGCAATGCTTTCCCTGATTTCACCTCTTTCACGATATGTCATTAATTAGAAAATGTTAGTGTCCTCAACCCTTGTAGGTACGACTGTCCACAAATGTATCATCAAGGAGCTATCATTACACCAGCTCTACTACCTTTAGGTACCTGCAGAAAAGCAGATCTTGACAGTCTATGATTTACTAGAAGCCTCAGACAGGCTTAAGTGGCTCCCTGAGGACCAAATGAAGTCCTGGTGGGCAGTGACTGCCAGCTGAGATGAAGGTTGCAGCAGCCCAGTGATAACCATGTCTGACATCTGGAGTCTTGTTTCCAGGCAGAGCAGTCAGCCACTGATGGAAGCGAAAGTGGTTCAGAGCCCTAGAGCTACAACACAGCAAGGCTCTGGGCTGGGAGCAGTCTCCAACTAATGGCAGGGGGGTAGACACTGCACTAGACATTTATCAGTTCAAACCTGTTCCCCCTAACATCTTATCTCCACTCAAGTCAGGGCTTCAAGCAGCTTAAGAAAAAAAAAAATCTGTAAGTTTAGCCATCACACAAAAGCAGGAAGAATACAGCCCCAGGCCAAATCTCAGAGAAGCCGGTCTTCTCTCTGGACAGCTTTGAGAGTACATTGGGCAGCATCAGCAGGTGGAGAGAGTCCTAGAGAAAGGCAGACATGCTGGTGCCACCCTGGCTGGTTAGAGGATGGATGCTCTATGCTAGTGGAGCACAAGATCCACATCTCACCAGCAGAAGAGAGCTGGGCACTGCAAGCTGAACTATGAAGAGAATAATCACATAACTGTATCTTGTCAAGAAAGAAATCACCCCTGATGATGAAAATTAGGAATTACTGAGTAGGCAGAAAAATACGAAGGACAGTTTAACAGTGCTGCTTAAGATGTGATAGATCTAAGGATATAAGAAATATCAGGTTTTTAGGCAGAGGTAATATTTTACTGGATCCATCAATATAGATGGAGAAAAATGGAGGACTTTTGTGTCCAAAAGCATGTCCATTAGGTCTGGCACAGCAAAGATCACGCTAAGCATTCTGTCCCACTGAAGTCTGATGGTGTTAACAAGGGGTTAACACCCACTTGGAAAGCATTTGTAGATACACTGAGAAGGGAAAACAGGAACTGACAGGTGAAAAATGTTTAGGGATTTGCAGCCACTAAGTGGTTCAATTAACACCTTTTAAGTCACACACACCATAAATCTTTAATTTAATACAATTAAAGGATCATAAGACAAAAAACAATCCCTGTTCCAGCTCTCTGCTTTAATTCTCGCCTCATCACCACCCAACTCTCTTTACAAAGTCTGAAACTAGAGTTTTCTCCTTGACATTGCAATACCTGAGCTTTTTATAACTTAAATCCTCAGAAGTAACCTTTGTAGAGCACAATTTGGGTTGGATCAGGTGGAGGGGAGCTCCCTCTCCAGGTAAAGAACACTTTTTACCAAGGGCTGACTGTCCTTTGGTTGTATTCTCTGGCAACTGCGATGACACAGGCCTGAAAGAAGGCTGTCCTGGAGCTGGGACATTATGGTGTTTCTCTTCCATGTGGCTTCCCTGGGACCTACAAAGGGTTGAGAAGCAACTGCCATGCTCCCCTCAGGGGAAGTGCTGATCTTTCTTCCATGCCCAACACAGGCAATTTTGTTGAAACTTCAAAAACATCTACTTTTTTGGGTTCCCTTGAGATGTTATCATAGGTAACAAATTGAATAACAGACTCAAAAATGCATGGGGGAGCAAGCTGGAGAAGGGGAAAGGAAAGGGCAAAGGTGAAACGGACCAAAAATGCAACTTACACAGTCCTCAAACAGGTTAAGCATCAAAACCCCACAAGTACATAAAATTAACCTTTTGTAGACAACCTTTAGATGGCCTGCAGTCACATCCAGGGAGAAACTGAAATGCAGAGGCTATGAGATATAATACAAAAAATAGCTACCTAAGGTTGAGATAATGCATAATTCAGTGCTGGATTAAAAGGAGTTGTGCAAGGCCATCTTTTATTTTAAATAATAGTAGCTGTATTTTTTCAATTTTTGCTTTGTTCTTTAATCCAGAAACAGGGCAACAGTTACACCCCAGAGGTTTATCTTGCCATAAGTTGTGATAGCTTTCTTTCCTAGATTAGCCTGGAGAAACTCTAGTAGAAAGCTAATCACCAACCTCTGAAACACTCTCCTAACCTCGGCATCTGATCCAGACACAGAAATCCTGACCCCGTGAAGATTTATGTGCATCCTTCATTTTATTTGGAGACGCAAGTGGGCCAGCTCGGTTAGTGTTGTCTGTCACGCTGATGTTTCTTTCATGAGCCAGTATTTTTATGGCTGAAATGTCTCAAATCCAGGATCAAGTTACCGGTGTCAACCACCCCTCTGGCAGTGAGAGTTAAACAGAGTTAAAGCTTTCAATAAGGCACAAACTGCTGTGGTCTGACCTGCTTCTGAGTGCCAAGTGTTTCAGACCCAGTCTATTACCACGAGTCAAACGATGCCCAGTAGTTTTAGGACTGAAAAGTTTTTAAGGGAGTGATCTATTACTGCAAGGAACATCCACATGAATAACAACGCTAACCAAATACTTCAGAGACATACAGAATTACATTACCATTATGAATGTTTTAAAAAAACCCTTTTTTCTAATCAATCCAAAGAAAACCTCTAGTAGGGTTAAGAGACAAATACTTTTAATGAAAAACTTCATCTTATTGCAAAGTGAAGCAGTTACTCTGAAAAGTGGAATTAATGAAAGTTGAAGGCTTATTTCCTTATAACCTGTTTAGCGTCAAATGCTTTCTGCATTGGAAATATGGGCATATAACACAACCACTCGTAAGGTTTTTCAGCATAAAGAGAGCTCATACCTCTCCAAATAGCAAAGACTCTACACTGAAAAACACCATACAGCAAGTTTTTGCTTAATTTAAACTTAGTAGTGAGAACTGACTGCCATTTTAAAAACTGACAGCAGTATGCCCATGAACTGCTATTAGGATAGAGCAATCGTGCGTTTGATTTATTGACACCAAAAAATGAAAACAAAATACTAGCAGCCTCCTAAAAAAAAAGCCTACTGATGCTTTGCTTTTACTGCAGTTGACTAAAGAGATGCAGCTGATTTTGGAGGTTTGTGGTAACATCTATCACTGAAGTACAGATGATGCAAAAACACAGTGGTGAGCATGCAGAATACTAAACATGGATTTCAAAAGCATGTTTACCTAACCACACCTGCACATCACCTATGTAGATTAATGAGGCCTAAAGCCAATTTCTTTTACCTGAACACTAGTTCTCCTTATTTTTCTCCCCCTGCAACCTATGGCAAAACAACAAATCTGCCTCTTGAACAAATCAGAGAAGAGCTGTGGCTTGCTGCTAGCCGTTCATCCTCTTCTCGTCCTTTCCCATCTCCTCCTGCGCAGGGGGAGCCGCAGATTGTCTGCCATAGCTAGGGACACAGCAAGTCATAATTAGCTCGCAGGGTGCTGTTTATAGCTACTAAACAATGCCAGGATTTGTTTCTTGTACTGAAGCTATGAATCTGTAAATGGGATTTTTATGAGGATTTATGTGTCATCTTGTGTTTTTCCTGGAAGCTTATGCCACTGTCATTCACAGGGGACACGATGCACATTTACCAGAAACCCAACACTCTGACTTCCTCCCCGTTCTTAAAAATAGGGATGAGAAAGCTCAGCAGATGATGAAAAAAGAATGTATTTAAGAAGCAGGTGGGTGTAAAAAAGGGGGTTGGAAAAGAGGAAGAAAGACTCAGCTACAGCTGGTACCAGGGCTCTGCTCCAGAAAAGCCTACAATCAATTACTGCTGGCATGAAGCTCAACCTTCCAGCAGGCACCCAGCAGAGCAGGGCTGGGCTGGTGCCAGCCCTGTCCCCAACAAGGGCTTCCCTTCCCACAGCTGCTCCAGGCCAGCAGACTTGCTCTTGGCCAGACAAGTCCTCACAAATGTTGTCACCTCTCTGCTTTTATAAAAGCCCATCAGAGCTGCTGCTCCTCCAAAAGCTGAGTCACCAATGTAACCGCTAACGATTTATGTTCCAGCCATCATCACTCTGAACAAGGTTAACCAGGATCAATTTAGGGTGAGCTTCCCATGACATGTCTTTGGCAAGCCAAAGCGCCTGCAGACAGACAGCTCTGGTGCCGTGTGAGGACCGAAGGGACATTACGAGCCGTGCCAGTGTCACACACCAGCTTCAGGAGAAGAGACATGTCACCAAATCCCGTCTGCACACAGAGCCCCACATCTCTGCTGGGAAGAGAGGTACCACCCATGTGCCACAGCAGAAATACATCTGTCTTTGACAATAGAAAGGGCACTAGCAGGTAGAGTAAGCCTCTGAAAGAAGCTGTACCTCCACCCAAATTAAGATCAACAGCTTTAAGCCAAGGCTTTTTACAAAAAGCAGGCTCCACTTGTTTAGATTTTTTATTATAATATGGGCACATTTTCAGCATACTGCAATATTCCGTAATGAAATTACAGCCTTCATATATAACTTCTCCCTGAAGCTACACCACTTCAGAATAGCAAGTTATTATGCTGCTCGACACTGCGCCAGCGAGCCCCTGCACTAGTGACTGGCAGCACAGCTAATGGATATAGCAAAGATGCATTTGACTGACAGCCTAACTTTATTTGTCAAAACCAGAAGCACCCACGAGCCGAAGGAAGGTTG